CCCCGGGGCCCCCGGGGCCGCGGAGGGGCGGCAGCCGAGCTGGTCTCTGCCTCCCGGAGCCGGCGTTCAGGGCAGCTGCATCTCGGGCAGGTCGGGCAGGTTGCAGGGCTGGCCCTGGCCGTGGCGGCTCTGCTGCTGCGGGTGGAGGAAGTAGCTCAGGGGGTTCTGCTGCGGGGTGGGGGGGGGCTGGAAAATGCGCTGCGTGGGCCCCCCGGGCACCGGCTCAGGACCTTGCATCTGTCAGGAGACACAAATCCGACAAGTCAGACCTGCCCTGTCACCCATTCGTGCCTTCTCTTGCTGCAGGGCTGGTGCTGAGGCTCATACCCAGGAGACCGAGGACCAAGTCCTAAAGGTAACCTCTGCCCATCGAGGGTACAAGTTGTGGACAAGCAGCTTGGGATGCTGGTGCTATCAGCATGACTAAAAATGCCCCAAGAGTACAGAGAGGAAGCAGGACCTGTCCCTCCTACCAGCCTCATGAGGAGCCAGTAGAAATGGAGACCTTCAAAAGCCATTTGGATGCGAGGTAAAATCTGCAGGACATGTAACTTCCATCTTCCATGGGAAGGATCTTTGGGCAACCAACAAAGAGAGGGTAGTGTGACCTTGTCCATGTACCACCCCATGGCTGGTACCCCAAACACCTGAACTTGCTGGTTCACCCACCATTAAAGGCATTGTAGCACCAAAGCTTGCTTTGCTGTTGCCCTGGAGCTATTTATCTCCCCCAACATCATCATTCTGCTGTCCATATTGCTAGTCCTCAGGACCTCAGTGCAGCACACACACCCAAAGCAGGGATGGCTCATGTCCACATTTGCTGACAACAACATTCTTCTCTTATTCTAAATCCAGCGCTGCTGCGTGGCTACTTTCAGCTGTACCTACTCTTCCTGCTTTGTTTTCTACCGTCTTTGCCTGGAGGATCATAGCTCACCTTTGCCAACCAGGCAAGTCCTGGAGAGTGTTTACTAATTATTAGTTTCAACAACCCCTCTTCCTGGCAGTGTCATCGGTTTGCCATGTGCTGATGAAGCTGCGCTTCGAAAAAACAATATCACCCTTCTTCTCCAGAGATTTGTGTTGTGAAACACCCACTTATTAAAAGCAAGCAGTGACGGCAGCTGATAAAAACTCCTTGCTACGCTGAGCCACAACAGCAGGAGGCATGTTTTCAAAAGAGCTTATCCCTTATCGTGTTTCACGTCAACAGCAAGATTCCCACCAAAGCTCCTCTGGATGACAGGCTGTGTTTAAAAAACTGGATATTTCTTCTGGACACTAAGTGGTAACTGAGTTCATTGGAAAACATGGTCTTGAAGGGGTGCAGAGCCAGCCTGGAGAGGCTGAGCACTTGGGTATGTGCAGATACAATGGGAATGGAGGATGTGTGAGTGCACTGACCAGGTCTGAAGAGCCAAGTAAGCCCCGTGTCTTCAAAAAAACCCAACCCAACCCCAAAGCCATCCTCGTGCATCCTCAGAAACCTGTTCCAGCTGCATTCCCTGCAGGTAGAGACGGTGCTGCTGACCCTGTTGCTGCGGCCACTGGTGGAGATGAACTGGTGCGTTTGCCTGGTGGGATGTGAAGCTGGTGTGTGGGATCATCAGAGATGGGGAGAAAATGGGCGATGGGGCTGGAGGCCGGACGGTGCTACAGGTAACCTGTTGCATCTGTACTGGGGGAGGCAAGATCTGCTGCTCTGCAACGAATCTGCCACAAGGAGGAAAATAAGGCATGAGAACCCAAACCCAGACCCATCACCAGAGCAGCCCAGGGGCTGCAGGAACCAGACTGGAGCAGGGTTTGTCAAACCATGCAGAGCCCACTGAAAGCAGGCCCCAGATGTCCCCCTCCCCATCAAGCATGGACTGGAACCACGGAAAAATCAAGGTTTTTAAGGCTGTACATCTCTTCCACTTGATTAAGCATTTTAGGCTTTGCAAAAGCCAGAAAACAATTAAAAAATATTTTTTTCAAAGCATTTTCATTACCATAAAGTTCTTTGTAATTAAAAAATCTCCTTAGTACTTTTTCTCCTAAGCAGCTGAGCTTTTGTTTCTTTTAAGACAGTTTGTGCTTGCGCGATCACGTACAAGTGTTCGAAAGTAATTTGCAGTGCCACCAAGGGCCCCGCGGAAACGCCGCGTGACAACACGGGCTGGCACAGACTCACTTTCCTTGCTGCCTGCTGGCACTGCTCTGCGGGGACTGGCCGCTGCCGTTGGCGGGGGGGGGTATAGCTTGGTTTCAACAGCATCCTGCGGCGGAAGAGAAACAGCGGACGGTCAGGGAAGGGAGAGGTCCAGAGGATTCCAGACTCCTGATTGTCTGCCTCTAGAAACAAATCCTTGAAAATCCTCCCTGAAAGCATGCAAACCCTGGGAAAAAAGCTAGTGAAGTAGGATGCTTGTTATCACCTTGCCTGATGCACTTGCAGAGGTGAGCAGAAACTTGCTAAACCTTTCGTGTAAGAAATATGTTTTATAGATGGTGAGACCTCCAGGGTTTATCTTGTTTCCTTACACAGTATTTCGAAACAGCTGAATCCCAGAGGCAGTGTCTGCAGGTATGTCCCTGAAAAGCGGTTAAATAGTTTGAGGCAGTTGTATATGTTTTATACAATGTTTCCAGCCTTGGATAAAGGAAAAATGGCTTTGCTGTGGCCCTTGTCCTGGCTGGAGAAAAGACACTTTGGAGTTTCAGAGCAAGCAGACACAGCTTTGGAAAAGGCTATCCCTGCTAGTTTCTCCTGTCCACTCTCTTCGATAGCAGCAGATGTCCAAAGGTTACTGAGCTACATGGACAATTTATGGAAGTATGGAGAGAAAATGAGTTTAGGCCCCTGTGAGTACAGTGTGGTGTGCACAGAACCCTGCTTGCACGTCCACCAGCCTCACCATGAACCGACATCTCTGCAGGAGGGAACATTCCTACGCCTCTGCTATGGAACCCAGAGACCATCACCCCCTGAGCCCAGATGTGCCTGCCCTCCCCACCGCCCACCTATTGCTGTTTTCTACCATCACCACCATCAGGATGGTCCCAGAAGGGCTGTGTTGGTACCTGAGGCTCCTGTCCTGGCTGTAGTCAGATGGCGGTTGCCTTTCGCTGCCATCAGTCGGCATCTGTGCGGCCACTGTAATGGGACGCGCTTGTGAAAACACCATGGGGTTGTTGTAGAGGGGCACTGAAACGCTCGTCTGCCCCGGCAGACACGTTTGCTGGGCTTGGCTTCCTCTCATGAGGTGCTGCTGCTGTACCTGAAATGAAGACATAGATACCCACGTTAAGTTTTTAAAGCTCCCTAATAGAAGGCTGAAATAACTCCTTCCAGTATGCAGATGGGCAAAGGAGAAGGAACAGTAAGTAGGGCAGTAGTCCTGGCCAGCAGGACCAGGGAAATTACTGTCCTCCTGTACTCAGCACTGGTAAGGCTCCACCTCAAATAGCGTGTTCAGGTTTGGGTCCCTCACTACAAGAAAGACATTGAGGTGCCAGAGCGTGTCCAAAGAAGGGCTACAAAGCTGGTGAAGGGTCTAGAGCACAAGTGTTATGAGGAGAAGCTGAGGGATCTGAGGCTGGTTAGCCTGGAGAAAAGAAGGCTGAGGGCAGACCTTATCTCACTCTACAACTACCTGAAATATGGTTGTAGGGAGGTGGATGTTGGTCTCTTTTCCCAAGCAATATGCAATAAGACAAGAGGAAATGGCCTCAAGTTGTGTCAGGGAGGTTTAGATTGGATGTTAGGAAAAATTTCTTCTCCAAAGGGTTGTCAAGCATTGGAAAGGACTGCCCAGGGAAGTGGTGGAGTCACCATCCCTGGAGATATTAAAAAGATGGGTAGATGCGGTGCTTAGGGACATGGTTTAGTGGTGGACTTGGCAGTGTCATGTTAACGGTTGGAATCAATGATTTTCAAGGTCTCTTCCAACCTAAACGATTCCATGATTTTTATTATATTGTCCCTGAACACAGGACTAGGAACAGTATATCTATTCAGGAGAACCAACCTGTTTGCATTTATTGCCCCTGCACAGCAGGTGCTGGGATCCCCAGCAGCAGGAGCAGACAGTCTCTTGAGAAATCATAGTACAAGGGTTTGGGCACACAAGGCTTGAGGGAGAAGAGACCAGCTTAAGAGGGGAGGAGGAGTGCAAATCTAAAGTCCTCATGGAAAGAGTCTTGTCCTTCCTTTAAAGCGGTGGTTTTGGTCTTTTTTGCTTTTGGACACCTCAGTGTGATACGACCATCTATATGGTGGATTTAAGTCTAGTGATGACAAACTTGTTTTTCAAAGCTGCTGTCCAAGACTTCTCAGGCAGAAAAGAACTAATCTTTTAAAATTATGCCTGCTTCCCCATGTTATGAAGCCACAACTCTCACCAGCTACTGAGAAGCATCATGTTGCAATCACAAACAGAAGTGAATGAGAGCCCAAACCTCCCACTCAGATCTTCTCTGGTCACCAGGACAGCTCCAGCAGGCCCCAGGGTTTAGTGCTTTTAGGCTACCTGGCTTTTATTTTTATTTCCTAATATCAGCTAAAGAGTAAAACCAGCAGAGAGGAGATGTGGAGGAACATGGGGAGGAGGGACACGGCAGTCAAGCATTTAAAAAAGCCAGGAAAGGGGATGATGAAGACAAGGAAGCAGCCAGCGACCTGGGCGGCCATGCAGGGGTCCCTGAGGAATTGGCGTGGTGACGGCAGGTGGGAGCTGCAGTAGTGCTTCGTCCCCGTAAGGGCTGGCTGCTGTGACTTCTTGGCTGTGGTGGGCCTGGGCGTCCCCGGCGGCGGCGGGGGCCTCCTGGGGCTCAGGTGCTGCACGTTGTTAAAGACGACAGGGATGGGCTGCTGCATCAGCATCTTTAAATAAAAGAAACACAGGAGTTGCTGCAGCTCATAGGTGGTGGTTCTGCTGGGAGAAGTGGTCTCCAGCTCCTAGGCTGTCTCTATCAAAATCTATAACACCGCAGCAGCAACATCTCTAAATCCAGGGGCAAAGTGAACCACGAATAATAGAAAATCAAATGTTATCTCGTGCTCAAATATTTACTCAGAGCCACGACCATTCCAGCTCTGTAACGCCTGTTGCATTTTGCAGGAATGGCACAGAGGATCCAGCAGCACTAACCAGCCACTGAACCGCTGAGATTTTTGTGCAGGGGGCACTTTGGATCAGCTTGGGATTGTTTTTTTTATAAATCATGAAAATTACTGATTCAGTACCTAAGCAGATACATCACTCGTCTCTCAGAAGACACTACTCCCACATCTGAGACCAAACTACCAACTTATCCAGAGCTCATTCCAAAATGCTTTTGCTATTGACAATTTTGTTACCGATCTGTGTGCTGAAAGGAAAAGTAAATGGATTGTGAGTTTGGAAAGCCCAGGGGCAGCGGGTACCTGGAGGTTGGAGTCCTGCACCAGCTGGAGCTGCTCCTTGATGACGTGGAGCTCTTCTTGCTGCGTCTTGATGTCAGCTTGTAGTATGCGCGTCCTCTCCTCCAGCTGCTCTTTCAGCTGATGCATCATCCCCAGCTGGGTCGGGAAATGGTACACTGGCTGCAGGGAACAGAGAACAGGATCATGGTGTAGGACTAGTCACATTCACAGTGATGCTGGCTTCTGAAAAACAACTGCTTCTCAGCTTTTGCCATAGAAAATGGGATGCTGGCAAAGAGGATGCCGGCAAAAAATGGCAATTGCCTATTTCACCAAAGTACCGCTGTACTTCCAGAGCGGCAGCGCAACCGGCTCGTGCTCAGTGCTTCGCATGTTCCTGTGCACGGGACTCCCCTGTCCCTGTCGTGTGACACCCGGCTGATTTCGGACCACTCGTGGCAGATGCCGCACGCTGACCCCTGCCGCACCTCCCGGCTGGGCTGTCAGCTGTGCTGCTGGTTGGATTTGCCAAACGCCCAGCCCAAGTTGCGTTGTCATCCCACCCTGGGACCCATCCTTCACACCTGCATTACTCGTCTTCAATCCTTGTATAATCTGAATGTTACTACACTGACATCAAAGCTCTGTGAGGATGGGCCTCATAGTTACGCTTTATGACTCTCACTTTTTTTTTTTTTTTTTTCTTTTTCTGGCCTAACTCAAACCTTCCATGACATCCCCTTCCTGTACCAGGGCAACAAAACTCTTCAGCACCGTATCACCCTGCCTTCAGCAGACCCCAATGGTTTTGACAAGTGTAAACCTTCTTCTAAGCTATCTCCTCGGGTGTCCCACCTCGCTGAAACAAGCAGTTGCAACAATTTTGTTGCAGGTAAATCTCAGTAACAGCAACAGAAAGGGCAC